ACTTCATGTGCCAACTTCTAACCAGGAAGTTGGTTTCCTTATTTAGTGAGCTGTGGGTGTGTCGGTGTGTCCAGTGACTCTATCCACTGAGTATTTCTTCCTTTCCATTCCAGTTCTGTCAAATGGCTATAACTGTGTGTGAGGTAATCAAATCTTCAGGGAAGGACCCAGTCTAACCTGGTTTTGATTGTTGTGAAGGTCTTGGGTGAGTTGTTGGCTCAGATGGATGGGGAAAGTTTGCTTTGCCCCCACACACACACTTGTAAGTAAGAGATTATGGATGCAATCCATCAAGGAATATGATGAAAGTCACAGTTTGGGATGTTCTACTCTGCTAATGTGCACACCAGACAATGCTCTGAAATAAAACATTGCTGAGCTGGCTGTGGAATGATCATAGAAGTGGCCTTCTACTTATTTTTCATCTCCAAAGGTTGAGTATGAGCTACAAAACAACACTGGACTTTGGAGGGCTTCTGTTGGATCTTTTTAACACTATCTGAACGTAGTGTTTTGATGGATTCAGATTATGGTATGTTCTCCTACATGTCATTCACTTTATTGTCTCTTAAACTGTAATGTGTAAATTTGCTACAAAGCACAGGTGATTTTCCCCCATGGATAATTTCAGAGATGCAGTCTTGATTTTTGATGCTGGATGCATTGCTTCTCTAGTTAGCTGGTGGAGATTTGAATCCTACTCAGGTTATGGAATTCCACCAGTGCAGCATAAGACCCAAACAATCGTTTCCCTATTCATGCAGCAGATTAGGGGCAGGTTCTCTATACATGCTTCAGTGTACAAAGAAGTATTTCCTGAGTTTAAGCTTCCTGTGGTGAATGAGATCTAGGGCCTCCTTGAAAGCATAGCAGTGATGAAAGGTGACTAATGAGTTTGTTGTTTCAGACTCTCTGGGTTTCACTGGGAACACTTGTGGAAGGAAAAACCTTTTATCAAAGAGATGCACAGATCTCTTTGCATTGTTTTTTGAGATGAATTTCTCAGACATAGACACCTCTCTGGCACTTGCACAGAAAAGGTGTAAATTACATTTCACACTTCTGCCTAGGAATTGGGAACCATGTAACCTGCCTGTACTGTTGGTTAAAGAAGCATCAGAAAAGAGGAGTCTGGGCTGTAAGGTGTTAGTCCAGACTGGCACTAATTGATGATATGCCTTAGAGTAAATATCTTACCTCCACACCTTGAATCTTCAATCTAAAATATAAATACCTCACCTCAAAGTATGGTTTTGAAACGTAATTAAAGCTTGTAAAGCATGAGTGTATCTTTGGAATAAAAGCACCACGTAAATAATTACTGTAAATAATCCACAACCCTTCAAAAGTACCAACATGTGAAAATAATTTCCTTGGACAATAAGCAGCCATCTTCATACAGCCTGCACAAAGGCAGGTAAAGTTTATTAGCAGTTTGTATACATAGATTTTTCATAAAATCAAGTAATTAGTGTCATTTTTGGAAGGATGAGTATTAATGCTTTAAATGCTATAAGTAGAGATACGTGAGCAATAGAGATCAGTCTTACATTAGCACATCGGTTATGTGGATAAATAGAAATTAGTAACTTCTACCATTAAACTATTTTGACCTTGCTTTTCATTTTAAGTTTAGAAAGCTACAGGAACTAATTTACCAGCAAGTTGCGGTGGGTTGGTTTTTTTCATTATGGTTCCAGATACTTACTGAAGGGATGCACCACATCATCCAGTGTCCTCTTTCAATTGATCCTTTTCATACAACCTTTCTGTCTGTCTGCATAACTTTCCTGGTCATGTAGTGGTGTTGCTGTGTTGTAATTCCGAGAGTTTGGGGCGGTAAAAATCAGTAGCAATACTATTAGTGTCGCAAGCTGAACTAGTTATTGAGTTCTGAGTGGCGATTTCCTTATACAGAGCTGTGGTGTGCTTCAGAGAAATGTTAGAGTCATAGTTAAGGCCTCTTCTGACGTGAGTAGTCCTGTCGAAGCCTTTCAGTGAGTGTGGCATGCTGAACAGACCAGACATAACTGAAGTGAATTTCATAGGCAGGAGCAGGTACCAAGTTGTCTCTTTGGGGATGTTTTCAAAGGACAGCACACTTCTGTTTGGTTTGTTGGGGTTTTTTTAAACAGTTGCTAATTTCTGAAGGGAAGGTGAAGGCAGGAGCAGAGGGAGAGTGTTTTGAGGGATGTTTTTAGGTGTAAAGCTTTCAAAGAGAGTGTTCCTGAGTAGCACACCATGACTTAAAAACCTGCAAAGGGTCAAGGCAGATGTAGGATGGGTTCAAGTGTGGAGTCTGTTTTGCCTATATAGGAGTGCAGGAAACAGGGAAACTTAGAGAAGGTGAAGAAGGAAAGATGTAAGACAATATTTTTAGACAAGTGATAGGGAAGCAAACAGGATTTTTTAAAGAAGCAATGGGAATTGTCAGTAAGGCATGAAGAGATAGTAGGAGAGGAGAAAGGATAAGATAAGCAATAGCTAACTATGCCAACAGACCAGGGTAGTTAGGTAACCATGAAAAGAAGAGCTGGAGCATTAAGGAGCCTGTTGCTCTCTTTTTGCAGTAGAACTTTCAGTGTGTTTGCTTTGAAGTATTACATGTGTGTATATTTAAGCATTGCTAACCAATATGTCACCCTGCATGTATGCATAAATGTTTCATTTCACTATAAAATTACAGGTTTTATCAGATTAAAAAGAAAATTTCCAGATCTTTCATGGTTCATCTCTTATAAGAGAATTCTGTAAATGTAGAGGAACTGTACTGTGTAGTACAATCTTGAAATGTCCCTCTTGAAAACCTGTTGGAAAAAACATGCCCATTGGTAGATGATGTGTTTCTATCAATATTTTTGATATTTAGCAGGTTTACTTGTTGCTTTGAATTTACCTAATTTCTGTGCATTTTAGCCATATTCTTGAGCAGACTGCTTTTATTTCATGACACTGGTATTTTGGCCATCTTAGCATCATGCTGTTGAAACAAATAAGGAATACAGATTTTGGAGATTTTGGCAAAATAACATTCCTCTACAGGATCTACAAAATCAAACATTGGAGCTTTGATAACCTGATAATATCCCCTGAGTGAAACAGATTTGATTGATCTCTCATAATCTAGTGCTAGAGGAAAAAAGTGCACAAAGTAGTGAAGTATAAGTAGCAAAAAGCAATTTTTGAATTATTATGGTCATTGAAAGCTGACCCTGGCTGTTATAAAGTAGGTTCTGTAATTTTAGCCATTTGAAGCTGTATTTAAGCACTTAAATGTAAGTGACCTATTCTTCAGAGGTGCTCACAAGCAAGGTGGGTATAACACAGTGACGGGATTTGATTAGGGGGTTTGATGTGCTCTCACGAGCAGGAGAAAGGAGATTATTTTCCCAGAACTAATCTCTGTGGACTGGAGAGAAGCAAGGTGAGCATCAGAATAGCAGGAAGGAGAGGTGTGGATGTGGCTTGGTATTGATAGGAAGTTGAAACGTACCTCAGCAGCTTAGAAATAATGTACTCCTAAGCCATCATTTCTCTCCACCAGAATGCACTAATATTTTTGGGTGTATTTGAAGTTGGGCATGTAAAGTAGATGTGTTGATTCGTGGGCTGAATTATTTTTCTAGTCTCCCTCTAATTTGTTTTAAAATTCTGGAGCTGTGTATAAAGTGAGGTGGTTTACATTTGTCTTATATGTATTCATATAACACCTGTAAGTTTAAAAGTAACACATCCAGAAATGATCATCACTCTCTTTTTGGACATTCCCCATCAGGGGAATTTATGGTGTGAATGATGACTTACACTGAAGACAGAGGGAATGAACTGGCTAGCTGTGGACTAGTTGCTTCTTTCACAGAAGCAACTTCAGGTTGAGGCTGTTGGAGGTTACTGCCCCAACCTGAAGGAACATAACAGCTCTGCAAACAAATGGCATTATGCATAGGTTCCTGGTAAGCACCTAGGGTAAGAGTTGTATTTACTATTCCTGCATCCCTCAGTGAAGGAGGAAAATCCTGACGACCTGCGAAGGACAGACTCTTCCTTTGGTGGTGCTTGCTAGTGCTTCCTCTTCTATTCCTTCAGCGGGGTGGGAGGGGGGAGTGGTTGGCTGCCCTAGGCTGAGCAGTGCACGGAAACGGGCCTGGATAGAAAAGAAATACTCGGTTGTAGGTTAAAATCTTGCTGGTCAGAGCTGCAGTTTTTGATTTACAGCCCAGTTAAAAGGCCCCATTGAAGTGTTTCATCTGTAGTGGCCAGTACCCACCCGTGCAGTTTGTTATCAGTGGCATCAGTGCGCTGCGTTGGATGGGGGACACTGGGCTGTGACCTGGCCACAGGTGGGCTGGGGGAGCACAACTGCCATCAGGCTGGGTGACAGAGGTCATTGGTGGCAAGAGAGGGGCTAGTTGGTAGTATGGAGATAAAGACTTTTTACGATCTTCTTTTTGCCTTCCTGGTAAATCCACATTTGTAGTTAACATTTTATTTTGCAGGAGACGGAGGCCAAGATGTTGCTGCTCAGAAAGTACGTGGGGTTGATGAAAAGCTGTGACCTGTGTTCTTGCAGTGACGTGCTTCTGTTTATCTGTAGAGTCGTTGTTTCTTATTGTAGACAAAATAGTTACCTTTGTGCTTGTAGCTGGTTTTAACTCTAAGCACATGCATTCCCAGCAGCCCAACACTAATTACAAAACAGAAGTGATTCGGTTGTACCAGGAATGATCTGCAGCAGCTGGGTCAGGCAGTGGCTCCCACAAGCCATGCTGTCGTTGGTTGCTGTTAATTTTTTTTGCCATGAAAATAGCATTGGAAATAGTGTGGCATTCACAAGAGTTGAGGCTGAGCTGTTCACGGTAAGCGGTGTGCTACACGAGCCTCTCTTAATGTCTTCTCAAGTCATTGAAAAGCATAAGTTCCACATTTTGCTCCTACATTTTTCTGAGTTATCCTTTCAAAGAAAAAAATGTTGGTTTTGTTTTTTTTTTTTTTTTTCCCAGTTCCTCCAGGAGTGATACAAAATGGAGCTCGAGTTTTGAGTAGAGGAATATTTCCTGGAGCCAGGCCATTGCCAATCAACCCTATAGGAAGCATGGCTGTTGCAGTAAGGTAAGAGTGGCTTATTCTGGGACCTTTGTTAAATAAATCAGTACAGAGAGTGTAAAAGTATGTGTAAGCTCTGGTCAACAGACACATTGCTGCTTACTGATACTCCTGAGATTCTAAATGAAATAAAGTTCTGCCACCTAAAATTCTGGGGTTGTCATTCTTTGCCAGGATAGTCATGGCACATCTGTCTGTCACATGCAGGTTTGTAAAAAGCAGTTTCATTTTCACTAATAAATTGCAGGCAGTTTATGGACAGAACCTGCTACAGTAACCTGTTTTTCTAAGTACAAATGCTTTTTCCTGCTCCTCCCTCCCTGCCTTTTCCTAAAGACATTTTCCTGGATTACATACCAGTGAGAACAATGTCAATAATATTAAAGCAAATTCTGAAAGATATCTAAACATGTACTTGTCCTTTTTATTATTAACTTTGGTCTTTGTGAGGCAGTTTCTTTCAGTACAGTTTCTATTTCAAGGTTATACTGAAACATTCAAGGGTAAAATGTTGTTTCAAGATATTCAACTGTTTTAGAAAGTAGAACAGTAAGAGACATCTAGTGATGGCAATAAGAACTGTGGTTCAGTGGTGTGCTTTACTTAAAGCAGTGATGGTTTATTGGTGGAACAACAATTTGCCTCAGGTGTAGCTCCATTTTCAGTCAGTCACAACAGTGATTAATTTGGTCAAGTATGCTGCCAGTGCCCTTCTCCTTCAGAACTCTCAGTATCTGTAAAAGCTATTTCTGCTCAGGCAGTTGGGTATTCTGGGTGGGATTTTGTAATTAGTGCTGACCCCGCTTTGCGTGGGCTCTTCCAATTACACCCTCTGATCTCAGAAAATGGCTGCAAGGCGATGAGATAAAGTATCTTGATAGGTACTTATTCCATTATTAGTTACTTGGGATTTTTTTTTCCATTTGCTCTTTTTTTAATCCCTTTTCAGAATCAGTGTCTAGCCTTTTGTGTGCAGTATTTCCATCCAGTAAGTGGCAAGACAGAGAGAACCTGTGACATTCATATACTCTTGATGCTTAAAATGCATAGAGGGGAAGACACTAATTGGAATAAAATCTATATTTTTTGATGGGCAGCTGTTTCAGTGTTTTTCCACGTTTGCTACACTGAAGCGATGCAACCCCAGGGTCATGCTCCAGAAGTGTGCAGAGTCCCTCTCTGTCTGGCTTTACAGCACGCTGGCCTTGCTCGCAGCAGAGGTCGACCATCTTCAGCAGCTTTGCCACCGGCTTTAGCCAGGACTTGTGTTCTGCTCCAGTGGGGATTGCAGAGCTGTGGGACTACTGGATCATTAATTATATACAGTTTTTATGAGGTGTCTGAGCTAAATGGATTACATATTGATCTGAGTATTCTCTCTTGAGTTTATATGCATTTCCTGCGTAGACTGTGTTTCATAATCAGGATTGACTCAAGGAGGAGATGCAACTGTTTTTCATTCCAGGCTACTTCTGTGTAGACATCCTCAAATTACTATGTTGTAAGGCTGTATATAGTCAAATTTTATGCATTTTCTGAAGACTACCTCTCAGGTTTTTTTCCCAGCAGCTAAAACATCATCTTTACCAGCTACCTGCTAATGTAGATTTGAGAAATTAGGGATTTTACCCCTCCCTTGCTTATGTTCTTTTTGCTCTGTCTCGGAGAAAAGCATTTATAATTAGTTAATGCAGACATTTCTAATTCTTTTTGTTCTCTTCTCTAGCCTTAGGCAGGATTAGAAATAGCTTGCTATGAATATATTCCTGGTCTGCATGATGTCTGCTCATATTTAAGGGCTCCTGCAATATCCCCCCTTCTAATTCTTGAAGAGGGTGTCACAAGGTGGGGATCTTCTCTTCGGCTTTGAAAGCTTTTGAGAAGTTTGGAGATTCTCTGCAATAGAGCAAGTTCTGCAGGCAGTTTTGTCTTGTTTCTCTCAGGGACAATTACGATTCAAAATTTCTTAGAAAGAAGGTCAGTCTGCATGTACAATGCCTCCTAGAACATCATCTGGTCCTCTCAAAACTAGATCTTTCTGTTAGCAGTTAGTGTAAAAAAAACACCCTGTCTCTTGGTGGTTACCTCTCTCATCAGATACAAAGGGCTGATCAGGACCTGTCGTGTTGAGTTTTCATGGCATCTCATGAGACTGACTTCTGCTTATCATGTACCACAGCATCCGTGCAGCTACTTCCGTTGCTGTTAAGAGTAGGGGTACTGCTCACACAGAGCCAGCTGTCTTTCCTGCACAGAGGGGGTTGCTCCAGTCAGGCTGGCAGGGGCTGTTGTTAGACCTGTTCAGGTGCAGGAAGGTTGATTTTCACCTTCCAGCTTTCCGCAGGAGGGAGCTCTGCT